TGGGGATCAGCCCAAACGGGAATTCCTGCGTGAGCCAGTCTTTTTCTAATCCCATGGAAACGAACAGACACGACCCCAAAACCGCAGAATTAAGAACTAACTCCCTGCCAATTGTGTTTCACATGCTCCAAGAACCGAGCCCCCAAAGTCTCAGCAGCTCAATACACCCCCAGAAAACTGCTTTTTATTTCTGTTAGGAATCGAGCATTTAACCCCAGGAGGCCAAACATTCCAAGACATTCCAAGTGCTTTCCAAAGGCACAATTTTCATAATTGCCCAGCTCCAGCACCACCATAAACCAGGACACACTGGGACATGTTCTCAGAAGCCCTGCCTGGCAGGCTTACAAATTGTATTAATGGTTATTTAACTCCCAGCAATTCTTCCTTCATCATTTTCTCCCCAGGATGTGTTGTCTGGAAATGAAGGGGAACTCTCTGATGCGGGAGTGTCCCAGGCCTGAATTCCCAGGATTTGAGGAAAAGGTGTAGAAGGTTACAGAGGGTGAACTGCAGTGAAGAGCAAGGGGGAGAGCACAGCCCATGGCTGGAATTTCGAGGCAAAGAGCAGAGATCTCGGCAGTGGGGAAATCAGGCAGCTTCTTCAGGTCATGAGATTATTCCCTGGAAAAACAGGGCCTGGAGCAAGGCCTGAAGAAGGATCAGCACCGTGGTCTCTGCTGCAGTGACAAAAGGTGGCTTTTGAACCCCTGAAATATGTGACCCTAAGCCCACAATGTTCAAAGTTATGGAATCTTTCTTTTTATAGGATTTCTGGTCACCATAACCAGCCATAGAACCAAGACCATCCAGTCCAGCTGCAGTGTGGACATTCTGGTTTGGCCAAGGAGTGAAACTCCTCACGGCTAAAGCCCAGGGAGGAGCAGGGCACTGTAAAGATTTCCTGAAAAGAGGCACTTGCTGGAGTGGGAATTCCAACTGCTTGGCATCTATGGAAACTGAGCTCTAAATAGATCCTCTTCCAGCCCAGGGATTCAGCCACTGCTCACTACAAAAGGAAAAGCAGCTCTCGAAGTTCCGTTTCAAGCACGGTGTTCTAAGGATGAGCTCAACTCGTTCTTCCACCAGCACGTGGATCAGAGCAGCTTCCAAGAAGGAATTGGCACTAATGGGAGTGATGTGGGCAGGCAGCCCCATGGCATGGGGCAACGAGGAGGGGCAGACTGAGCTAACCCGGGCTGGAATGTTCCATGGAACACCACAGCACCCCTTGGCTTTCCCACAATGGAGCAGAGCAGGAATTCCATAGCTGTTAAAAACATTGGACAGGGCCTGGAGCAACCTGGGACAGGGAAAGGTGTCCCTGTCCATGGAACTTGAGCTTTTAGATCCCTCCCAACCCAAACCATTCCATGATTCACTTCTGCCAGGCACCATCCTCTGGCAACGCTGCTGTGAGAGAGGAGATGACCAACAAGCACATTGGGAGGTGCAGGATAAAATTCCTGCTCCAGGGTAAGATTCCTGCTCCAGGATAAAATTCCTGCTCCAGGATAAGATTACTGCTCCAGGATAAGATTCCTGATCCAGGGTAAAATTCCTGTTCCAGGATAAGATTCCTGATCCAGGATAAAATTCCTGCTCCAGGGGAAGATTCCTGCTCCAGGATAAAATTCTGCTCCAGGATAAGATTCCTGCTCCAGGGTAAGATTGCTGCTCCAGGATAAAATTCCTGCTCCAGGGGAAGATTCCTGCTCCAGGATAAAATTCTGCTCCAGGATAAGATTCCTGCTCCAGGGTAAGATTGCTGCTCCAGGATAAAATTCCTGCTCCAGGGGAAGATTCCTGCTCCAGGATAAAATTCTGCTCCAGGATAAGATTCCTGCTCCAGGGTAAGATTGCTGCTCCAGGATAAAATTCCTGCTCCAGGGGAAGATTCCTGCTCCAGGATAAAATTCTGCTCCAGGATAAGATTCCTGCTCCAGGACTGTAAGAAAAGATCCCTGTTCCAGGACAAAATTCCTGCTCTAGGATAAGATTCCTGATCCAGGGTAAGATTGCTGCTCCAGGATAAAACTCCTGATCCAGGATAAGATTCCTGATCCAGGATAAAATTCCTGCTCCAGGATAAAATTCCTGCTCCAGGGTAAGAATGCTGCTCCAGGATAAAATTGCTGCTCCAGGATAAAATTTCTGCTCCAGGATTGTAAGAAAAGATCCCTACTCCAGGATAAGATTACTGCTCCAGGATAAGATTCCCACTCCAGGATAAAATTCCTGCTCCAGGATAAGATTCCTGCTCCAGGATTGTAAGAAAAGATCCCTGCTCCAGGATAAAATTCTGCTCCAGGATAAGATTCCTGCTCCAGGATAAAATTCCTGCTCCAGGATAAGATTCCTGCTCCAGGATTGTAAGAAAAGATCCCTGCTCCAGGATAAGATTCCCTCTCCAGGATAAGATTCCTGCTCCAGGATAAGATTCCTTCTCCAGGATAAGATTCCTGCTCCAGGATAAGATTCCTGCTCCAGGATAAGATCCCTGCTCCAGGATAAAATTCCACTCCAGGATAAGATTCCTGCTCCAGGATAAAATTCTGCTCCAGGATAAGATTCCTGCTCCAGGATAAGATTCCTGCTCCAGGATAAGATTCCTGCTCCAGGATAAAATTCCTGATCCAGGATAAGATTCCTGCTCCAGGGTAAAATTCCTGCTCCAGGATAAGACTCCCGCTGGCCTCAGCCCCTGGAGCTCCCTTTAGGCAGTGACTGCTCTGCACTCTGCAGTGAGGGATGTGACTCCTCACAGGTCTCAGAGCAAGCACCAAGCTCTGATTTACAGAATGAGACTCGAGGCAGAAAACCCCCAAGGTGACATCAGACAAATGGAAGGAATCAACCTAAGTCGAAGAAAAGCGACCAGGAACAAATGGTTAATGGCCAGAAGGCAGCAAGTAATAGTGGCTCTAATTAAATATTCATTTTTCTCCCCTCACTCTGAGCCAGTGCAGCTCTCAGGCGCTTTGGGGAAATAGCACAGATTTTAAAAAAAGCAAACAGGACAAATGACTTCAGTTTATTTCTCCTGCTTCAGTTTGCAGGCCCGGTGTCCAAAAGGACTGGAGGCCAGGAGAATCTCTTGGAGTCTGCTGTGAATGAATGGCCAGGAAGACGATGACTAATGCCCAATCTCTTTCTCCTACTCCACCCAAAACATTCTGCAATATATAATAAAATCAGCATATCCAAGGGGTTTTTGTAACCCACAAAGCCAAAAATCCCATGACTGGGTGGCCTTTTAAAACCTTTCCATCCCAAAAATGTTCCTCCGGTCGCAATAACAAATCCATATACCAAACTTCCAACCATTAGTGCAGCCACCACCAAGCTCCCCACTAAGCCACGTTCTCAAGTGCCACATCCACAGGTTTTTCTGAGCATTCCCAGGGATGGGGACTCCAGCAGTGCCCTGGGCAGCCTCAGTACCTGCACAGAAAACAGGCAGGAGTTTACACAGTGGCTTTTTTGACGTGGCAGCAGCAGGCAGTGCCAGATCACAGCCGTGAACAGCAGCCCTGAGTGTTCTGTGGCCCCACTTGCACAGACTTGCAGGCTCCTGCTCCGGTAAAAGCAAAGGAAATGCTCTGCAAACAGCCCAGCCTGGGTGGTTCTCCATAAATTCATCATCTTTGATGCTTCCCCGAAATGATCGGCTCCTCCTTCACAGGAATTGCTGCTGTAAAAGGTGCGTGGCTGCTAAATGGGAAACTCGCCATGGTTTCAGCTGCACAAACACTAATTGGATAAATATCTTTCAAAATCATGCACAAGCCATTTCCAGTTGGAGGGATGGAGCAATTAAGCTGCTCCAAGCCAAGTCTATCCCAGTGGATGTGCTTGAAGCCTGCCAGCTTCCCGGACAAGCAATCCCACTGCACGTGATCCAAACTGCAGAGGGTTTTATTGCTCTCAACTCCAGCCAAACTCCAAATCCCATGGCTAGAAGGTAGCACGAGAACTGTGCAGCTTTAATCCCTGCTCATGAGAAACTGTCTGCAAGTCTGAGCTCACAGAGGAAACGTGGCTCTCCACAAAACTTGTGTGAGTGGCTCTGACAGAGTGTCACAAGGAGGGCATCCCTTTGGGGACACTGGATGCAGCCACCCCACCTTCTCCCACCACGGGAGCATCACTGCCCAATGTCGCCTTGATTTTGTAAGACTTTGTTAAGCTTTCTGATGTTTACATTCTTTCAACAAACTTTCTCACACACAGTTCTGTGAATAACCTATGTTTTGCATTCTTTCATGGAGGTGGAGAGAATTGATGGCCCCTTGGTCTGTCCAGTGGCATTGGAGAGGTGGCACTGTCCCCCTCCAATCCACTGTCACCTTTGGAAAACTATAAATGTTAGAGTCAGAAAATAAAGGCTCTTTTTCTTTTTTGTTCCCCTCGAGAGCAGCAGTATCTGTGTCATCATTTCGTGCCTTATCACAACAACCCAACAACCCATAAAATCAGAAAATACTGAATGAGAATCACATTCAGACAGAGCAAAGCGGGACAGTTCATAGCTGCTGCTTGCTGTTCTGCTCTGGTTGAACTAATGGGGGTTCTTGTGGCTGTAAGTGGGAATTCTGTCCCAAAACACAGACACAGGGACACTCCCCTACACTTCATGAGGGTGTGTGCACACGTGTGTAAGCCTGGTGTATCATAAAGAGCTTTCTTTGTGTGAACAGGCTGCACGAGCAATTTACAGGGCTTTAAAAGTGAGCACTAAGGACACAGAGGACATTCATCACCAGAACTTCCCTTCGAAAAAAACTTCGTATGGGAGGCAGAAGCCGTTCCCATTCCAAGCATGAAGCTGTCAGCTCCACGGTACAAGACTCGCACAAATCGGGTCACGGCGCTGACATCCCGGAGCAGCTCTCGGAGGGAGCAGAACTTCCCAGCGCCCCTCAGAGCTCCCAGAGCTGCTCTCAGCACACAGCAGCCGGCAGCGGCACCGGGGCCAGCTGACAGCCCAGCGCTGTTACCTGCAGAGCGGAGGGCTCCAGGCCGAAGCCGAACTTGTCCCAGAGGCCGGTGCTGCCGGGGGCCTTGGCGAGCCGCAGCACGGCGTTGTGGGCAGAGACGCTGACGCTGCTCTCGGGGGACAGCAGCGCGGCAGGGAGCCGCAGGAACAGGGCGAAGGCCGCCGTGTCGGTGCGGAAGCGGAGGCTGTAGTGCCGGGCGCCCACGTCCCCGCGGAGGCTCTGCGGCTGGATGCCGGGCACCGGCAGGATCAGCGTGAGGGACGCCTCGTCCTGCCGGGCGCGGAAGGGAGGGCAGGTGGCCGTCTCGCTGGGGTGGCCCTCGGGGGGCTGCGGAGGGGTGTCCCCGGTGGGCATGGCCGGCTCGGGGCTGGCGGTGGGGGAAGCGGCGCCGGAGCAGGGCAGTGCCGGCTCCCGGGGCTCGGCGGGGAGCTCTGCGGGTGGAACAGCGGCGGGGGCGGTGAAGGGCCCAGAGCGGGGGTCAGAGCTTGGACCAGCGGGGGGCTCAGAGCTTGGACCAGCGGGGGGCTCAGAGCTTGGACCAGCGGGGGGCTCAGAGCTTGGACCAGCGGGGAGTTCAGAGCTTGTATCAGGGGCTTCAGAGGTTGTATCAGTGGCAGGTTCAGAGGTTGGATCAGTGGAAGGTTCAGAGCTTGGATCAGGGGAAGGTTCAGAGCTTGGATCAGGGGAAGGTTCAGAGCTTGGATCAGTGGAAGGTTCACAGGTTGGATCAGTGGAAGGTCCAGATGTTGGATCAGTGGAAGGTTCAGAGGTTGGATCAGTGGAAGGTTCAGAGGTTGGATCAGTGGAAGGTTCAGAGGTTGGATCAGTGGAAGGTTCAGAGGTTGGATCAGTGGAAGGTTCAGAGGTTGGATCAGTGGAAGGTTCAGAGGTTGGATCAGTGGAAGGTTCAGAGGTTGGATCAGTGGAAGGTTCAGAGGTTGGATCAGTGGAAGGTTCAGAGGTTGGATCAGTGGAAGGTTCAGAGGTTGGATCAGTGGAAGGTTCAGAGGTTGGATCAGTGGAAGGTTCAGAGGTTGGATCAGTGGAAGGTTCAGAGGTTGGATCAGTGGAAGGTTCAGAGGTTGGATCAGTGGAAGGTTCAGAGGTTGGATCAGTGGAAGGTTCAGAGGTTGGATCAGTGGAAGGTTCAGAGGTTGGATCAGTGGAAGGTTCAGAGGTTGGATCAATGGCAGGGTCAGCAGGGAAGTCAGAGGTTGGATCAGCGGGAGGTTCACGCCAGGGTTCAGCGGGTGGGTCACAGAGTGGCTCTAGGGGCAGTTCAGCGGCGGGCTCACACAGTGGGTCAGCCGGGGGTTCGGCCAGCGGATCACCGCGCTCCCCGCCGCCACGCGCGCCCCGGGCCGCGCCGCCAGGCCCGAGTTCCGGGGGAGGAGCCGCTCCGCCGCCCGCCTCTGCCGGGCCTGCCTCTGCCGGCCCCTCGGCAGCGGGCTCGGCCCCCTCCAGCCGCTCCCGCGGGCCGGGCGGCTGCACCACGGGCAGCGTGACCTGCAGCTGCCGCTGGGCCCGGTTGAAGGCGGCCCGCCCGGCGCTCTCGTCCACGTCGTAGGGGAGGCGGAGGCGCAGGCGGTAGGCGGGACACCGCGAGTCCAGCCGCAGCTCCCGCCCGCGGATCTCCAGCTCCGCCTGCTCGGCGGAGCGCAGCAGCGGCAGCTCCACCGTCACCACCAGCTCCCGCGGCACCGGGCTGGGCGCTGAGTCGCGGCTGTGCCGGTAGTCCTGCAGGTCCACGTAGGAGCGGTGGCGGATGCTCCAGCGCGGCGTGGTGGGGCCGGAGGGCGGCGGGGGCGCGGCGGGCGAGGAGCCCCCGGCGGCGGCGGCGGCGGCGGCGGCGGGCGGGAAGGGGAAGGGCGGCAGCGGCGACTCGCCGTCGTCGGGCGGCTTCGGGGCGCCGCCGGGCAGCGGGGAGCGGATGACGGGCGCCTGCGGGACGCCCTTGTAGGAGACCCCTCGCAGGACGGTGGCGTTGTTGCGGTCCAGCCGCACCCCGCAGTGGCTCTCCACGGCCTCCAGCGCCGTGTCGCGGAGCAGGCGGCGGAAGCGGGCGCTGCGGGCGGCCAGGCGCAGCGCGGCGGGGTGGAACACCACGTCGTACAGGAGGCGGCGGCGGCCGGCGGGGCGCAGCTCCTCGCGGCCCGGGGCCAGGCTGTAGGGCAGCTCCCAGCGCTGCCCGCCGCGCTCGGCGCGGGCCCGCGGCTCCCCCATCAGCGGGTTGCTGCAGACATTGATGTAGCAGCGGCGGGAGCCCTCCTGGCTCGTCCGCAGCACGAAGCCCGGCGTCGGGTGCACGAAGCGCACCTCCACGCCGCGCTCCCGCTCCAGAGCCGCCACCTCTTCCTCGTACAGCCGGCGCTGCTCGGGGTCGGTGAGCTCGGCCGCGTACTCCGCGAACAGCGCGCGGAAGCGCTCGTCGCGGAAGGCGCGCTGGAGCCGCTCTGCCTCCTCGGCGCTGAGGTCCAGGTCTTGCAGCCGCCCCGCGCCCGCCATGGCCCCGGCACGGCTTGGCCCGGCCGGGAGCGGTGCTGGGGGGACGCCGGACAAGATGGCGGGCGTTGCTGTGGTGACGGTAAACAAGATGGCGGCGCCGGCGCGGCTGTTGCTATGGAGACGGCAAACAATATGGCGGGCGGCCCCTCAGGGCTGAGGCCTCTCCGTCCGGGCCTCGCCTTTTCCCTCCCCTCAGGGGCTTCCAGCCATCGCCCCCGGCATCAGCAGGGCTGGTTTTCCTCCGTCATCTCCTCATCCTTCTGCAAAGTCTATGGTCCCTCCCCATGCCACAGCTCCGAGCTCCACTGCCGTCCCCTCACAGAGCACGTTTAAATCCTCGCCAGACCCAGCTTCCCTCCCGGCCCTGCTGTCCCCTCAAGAGCCTGTATCCTGCTGTCCTTCCTCGTTCCTGCTGTGAAAAACGAGGTTCAGTTTCCTGGGTAAATTCAAAAGTTAAATAAAGGACAGTAGGATACAAAAATAAAGCAAAGGTAACAGCTGGGTGCTTGGCATTCAGCCAGGAGCACACCTGCTATTTCAGAGAAACCCTTTACACGCCTTTTCTATTGCATCAGCCTACTGCATATTCATAAACAATTATCATATTTAAACTTCCCCAAACTAGTTTGCATGTTCTAAGAAGTGTTTAGCATCAGGCCCACGTTTCCAGAGCATGCACATTTCTTGCTGTGGTTTCAGTCAATTCTTATCACCTCTGTCTGTATTTTGGTCTGTAATTTTTACAGACAGTAGGTGTTGACAGTAGCAGGGATCTTCATCACACATTCATTGGGTGTTATCCCAACTAAGCAGGCAGTTCAACTATCACAGGAATAACTATATCAGCTGTTTCACTGCCATGTGTAAGTGTAGTTAATAGCAGAAATAAAAACTGTATAGCAAAGTTACTTTCACATTGTACATATAGAATCTCATTTTTGTGAACCAAAGCTGGTGCGGGCACTTCGGGGTACCCCGCTCTGCTCTCCATGCCCACAAACACCTGGAGCAGGTTTTGCCTCAGTTTCACTCCTTCCCCCTTCCCTCCATCGAGATTTCCTGCTCCCAGCCTTCTCCAGAAGTTCCAAAGGATCGTGTCCTTGATGTTACTGCTCCTTGCCCTGACTGCACAGCACCATCTTCAAGCAGCTGCTGCTGTCATGGAACACCTCACAGATCTTTCCTGGGCATTCCCAAAGCAAAATCCTGCCCCTCTTTCCAGGCTCCCTGCAGATAACCAGCTATCCAAGTTATCTTTCATTCTTTTGCTGTGGTTTCAGTCAATTCTTATCACCTCTGTCTGTATTTTGGTCTGTAATTTTTACAGACAGTAGGTGTTGACAGTAGCAGGGATCTTCATCACACATTCATTGGGTGTTATCCCAACTAAGCAGGCAGTTCAGCTATCACAGGAATAACTATCAGCTGTTTCACTGCCATGTGTAAGTGTAGTTAATAGCAGAAATAAAAACTGTATAGCAAAGTTACTTTCACATTGTACATATAGAATCATTTTTGTGAACCAAACTGGTGCAGGCACTTCGGGGTACCCCGCTGTGCTCTCCATGCCCACAAACACCTGGAGCAGGTTTTGCCTCAGTTTCACTCCTTCCCCCTTCCCTCCATCGAGATTTCCTGCTCCCAGCCTTCTCCAGAAGTTCCAAAGGATCGTGTCCTTGATGTTACTGCTCCTTGCCCTGACTGCACAGCACCATCTTCAAGCAGCTGCTGCTGTCATGGAACACCTCACAGATCTTTCCTGGGCATTCCCAAAGCAAAATCCTGCCCCTCTCCTTCCAGGCTCCCTGCAGATAACCAGCTATCCAAGTTATCTTTCATTCTTTTTTTTAAAAGATGTTCCTTTCCTGTTTGATACAGCTGGTTCCTCCACTTAACCTTTTTTTTATGCTTTGCCAGTTGTTTTTCACTCTGACTTTACAATTTATCTAAACTGACACCAGTGTCTTTTCCTGTAAAAGTTTATTTGTGTAAAAACAAATCAGTCTTTGACATTTTTTACAAAAAGTCCACAATACATCACAGAACTTAGGCATGTAAAAAGTAAGAGCTACAGTTGGTTTCCCATGGGTTCACTGCCTTTTTTCAGTGCCACAGAAATTCAGAGTCCTTGAAGCTTGCTGAAAACACCAAAGAAAAACAGTATTTAGAAGGCTTATTTTAAAAATAGTTCATAATGCTCTTCTATTTCTTTATCTAGCAAAGACTTGATAATGTTTTCAACTATTTAAAGACCTAAAGTACCTCATGGTGTGATATTTTCTATATTCAGGCTGACCCATTATTAATTCCCTGAGAAGGCTTCTCCAACAAGAAGAAGATAAATTTATGCTTTTCCTAATGGGTTATACCATCATTATTTCAAACAGGTAAATTTTCATCCATTTTAAGCACTTTGATGGATTTTAATACTTTTTTGGTGTTGCAGCTGTCTTTTCTCCTGTCAGTGGAATGCACAAGTGCAGGTTTAAAAACATGTGAAATCAAACCTGGAAGTGGCTTCTGGGCTTGATGATTATCACAAAATGAAGCAAAATTTTTTTCCTAAATTTAATTAATTTATGTAACAACCATCATCCCCAGAAACAAATCTGCTTCCCAGTTAGGTCTCTATCACTGAAAATCAGGCAGTGCAATCATCCCTCCTTTTACTTCTGAATTGTGCTTTCCATCACTGATATTTGTAATTTCTGCATTTATTGCTTTAGTTCTGGGCATTTGGATTTGTTACACTGCCTAAGTATGAAACGTGACTTAAGCTGCTGGAACATTCAAATATCACCAATTTCCTGTGCTTTTCATCCTGACAATCAGAAACTCACAAGAAAAACCAATTCACCTGTCTTCAACTGCCTTGTTGGAAGGGTAGAACACCTTGAAGCAAAATCCACTTCTGGGGAACGAACCCTGCGAAGGAAAAAGGGGAGGGAACCCCCGTTGGTGTGAGGGAACCCCCGTTGGTGTGAGGGAACCCACGTTGGTGTGAGGGAAACGGCAGTGCAGGGGGCGAGGGGGTGCGGGGCAGTGCTCACGGGGTTGATGCAGAGGCACTCGGAGCTGGTGACGGTGAAGGGGTCGTGTTTGTCAGCAGTGACCAGCACGTCTGGCAGGGGATAAACCCGCAGCGAGGAGTCATAGGCCCAGAACACGGGGCTGACGTACAGCGGCAGCGGGCTCAGGTGCCCCTGGGACAAAATGGTCTTCACAAACTGCAACAAAAACAACACACAAACACTTGGTTTAAAGCGTTATCCCTGGGACAAAATGGTCTTCACAAACTGCAACAAAAAGAACACACAAACACTTGGTTTAAAACATTACCCCCGGGATGAAATGGTCTTCACAAACTGCAACAAAAAAACCCCCACAAACACTTGGTTTTAAGTATTTGAAGCATTTATCCCCTGGGATAAAATGGTCTTCAAAACTTCACAAACTGCAACAAAAAGAACACACAAACACTTGGTTTTAAGTATTACCCGTGGGATTAAATGATCTTCACAAACTGCAACAAAAAGAACCCACAAACATTTGGTTTTAAGCAATACCCCTGGGATAAAATGGGGTTCACAAACAGCAACAAAAAACCCCCACAAACACTTGGTTTTAAGTATTTGAAGCATTTATCCCCTGGGTAAAATGGTCTTCACAAACTAAAACAAACAAACAAATAAACAAACCAAAAAACAAACAAAAAACAACAACAAAAAAATAAACCATGAACACTTGGTTTTAAGCAGTACCCCTGGGATAAAATGGTCTTCACAAACTGCAACAAAAAAAACCCACAAACACTTGGTTTTAAGTATTTGAAGCATTTATCCCCTGGGTAAAATGGTCTTCACAAACTAAAACAAACAAACAAAAAAAACCAAACAAAAACAACAACAAAAAAAGAAACCATGAACACTTGGTTTTAAGCAATACCCCTGGGATAAAATGGGGTTCACAAACAGCAACAAAAAACCCCCACAAACACTTGGTTTTAAGTATTTGAAGCATTTATCCCCTGGGATAAAACGGTCTTCACAAACTAAAACACAAAACCCCACAAACACTTGGTTTTAAGCATTACCCCTGGGATAAAATGGGGTTCACACACTGCAAAAAAAAACCCAAAAAACCCTCAAATACTTGGTTTTAAGCATTACCCTGGGATAAAATGGTCTTCACAAACTGCAACAAAAACAACACACAAACACTTGGTTTTAAGCAGAACCCCTGGGATAAAATGGTCTTCACAAACTGCAACAAAAAGAACACACAAACACTTGGTTTAAAACATTACCCCCGGGATGAAATGGTCTTCACAAACTGCAACAAAAAAACCCCCACAAACACTTGGTTTTAAGTATTTGAAGCATTTATCCCCTGGGATAAAATGGTCTTCAAAACTAAAACAAACAAACAAACAAATCCAAAAAACAAACAAACAAAAACAACAACAAAAAAAGAAACCATGAACTCTTGGTTTTAAGCAATACCCTGGGATAAAATGGTCTTCACAAACTGCAACAAAAACAACACACAAACACTTGGTTTTAAGCATTTGAAGCATTTATCCCCTGGGATAAAATGGTCTTCACAAACTGCAAAAAATCTCCCCCACTGATGCCTTGTGCAGGCTGCCCTAGAGCAGAGGCTGGATGGAGTTCCAGAATAAAGCAGGGATTGATTCCAAGGATCTCCTCCATGGATCCACCTTGGGCAGCACAAGAGCCCAGCCAGGGCTGCCCCCAAGATGAACCCAAATGGTCCCAAAATGCACGAGCGCTCCCGGGGTCTCTCCCTGGGATCAGCTCTGCTCCATGTGCACATTGCAGTTCAGTGTCCAATTCCAGCTCAGCCCCTGCACTCCCATCCTGCTTGTTTTTCTCTCTGCAGCCCACGGGGTTTGTGCTCCTGGGCTGAGATTTGGATCATTTGTCCTTGGTGCCCAGCTGGAGCAGGAATTGTTTTGTCTCCCTGCTCTGTGCACAGAGCTCACCGTGCCCTGATGTGAAGCCAGCCCCACACACTGAAGCAGCACAGAATGTGAAAATAGAAAAGCCAAACCTGAGGCATCACCACGAACACTTGGTTTGAAACATTTGAAGCATTTATCCCCAGAGATAAAATGGTCTTTACAAACTGCAAATAAAAACCCCACAAAGACTTGGTTTGAACATTTGCTGCAAGCTCAGTTCATCCCTGCACTGTCAGTGTGTGTTAATAAAGAAGCTTTTTGAGCCTGGAAATGTTTGGGGCTTTTTTGTATCTCATTCCTGATGATTATTAATGATTTCTAGAGTCAAGCAAGCAGTGACTCTCCTCCAGCTCTTTCCTTTCTTCACTTGTGGGGGTTTTAATACAAAGGCCTTTTTAAGGGCCAGGATTTGAAGATGTCACAATTATCAATCAGACTCTCCAGGAGAACCTACCTGCTCCTCCAGCCCAGAAGGCACCAGCACTGCCACAACTCTCATTTTTTGGTTTTTATTTTCCTTATTGCTTTCCAGTTAACCACAAGACCCACACTCAAAAAGTCCTTTCCCTAAACTGAAGAAATAATTTGATTCCCAGATGATTTTCCTTTTTTTGTGACAAAATTTCCCTCTTTTTTTTTTTTTTTTTAACACTGATGGCTGAAGTAAAATAGGCAAAAAAGGCAAAGTGGAGTATGCATAAAACAAGCTGCAGAAAGTGCTGCAATTCTACATTTCCTTCCTGGAAGGCCCAGCATGAGGACAGGGAAGTGTCAGGAATGCAAACGTGCCCACAAAACCAAGGAACCTCAGTGTCCACGGGGTGTTCACAGAGACACTGAGCAAAAACAACTTTCTGAGGCAAACAAACACAAAAACTCCTGTAAAATAAATAAAACCAGGCTCCATCCACCACTGCAGTGAGCCAGGACTACCTGGATGGTTCCCATGCAGTTATTTCAGTAAATCCCATCAGCTCCTGCTGTGCACTCATGAGCTGGAACCAAACCAGAGCACGCTGCTGATGTGTGAGGAGCACAATTTCCATTTCAAGTGAGGAGATAAAACAAGCAGATGAATTTTAGAGGAAGTGACCTGCTGCTTTACTGCAAATGGCATCAGGTAACCGATCAAATCTTAAAAAAATGGTATTTTGCATTAAAATTTGCCTTTAGGAATCAAGTGTTTCTTGGCAGGACATTGATGGTTGGTTCTGCTCTGAAGTTCTGTGTTCAAGGGCAGCTCC